AATAATACTGACTGGGGAAGATTTGAAGAATGCAGAAAAGCAGAAATTAACAGCAAGGGGAAAATATGGTTCACAGTCGCTCTCTTAAACACAATCATTCCTACTGTGTTACTCAGTACACTTCTTCCCTCAGCACAAACTCTGCAGCTACACTTGCCTTGCTTTAAATCTCAAAGGGGCCGTCTGGTAGCTGTGAATTGGACAAGTTACTCATCTTCTTGGTGCCCCGATTTCCTCATCTCTAGGATGGGGGTAATTAACAGTTGTGTTACATGGGCTTGTTATGAGGGTTAAACAAATTAATCTATGTAAAGTTCTCAGAATAGTGCCTGTATGTATATTGTAAACATTGCATGTATTAGCTACTGCTTCCCCACTCCTCTCTTTCCTCCAGCTCCTTAGTATTTGTTAGATACTATGCACCAGGTGTCCTGCTAGAAACTCATATTCTTTTGTTTCTTTCCAGTTTTTTCTTTTGTAGTTTCTTTCTGTCCTTTCTTAATAGCTGAAACTGTACTACAAATATAATTTTGTATCTTTATACAATATTATATCATTTATTCATTAGTGCCATTGATGCGGGATCCGTGAGCCGAGGAGTCGAAAGAAAGATTTCTTAGACTCTCAAGATCTGGCAGTAGTGCTCTTTTATTTAGAGAATAGTGTGGAATAGCATGGGGACAGGACCCATGGGCAGTAAGAGCTTCTGCTGCCGCCGCTTCTGCTGCCCCCACTGGCATGGGGACAGGGCCCATGGATAGGCAGAGCAGCTGCTGCTGCCCCCGCTGGCATGGGGACAGGACCCATGGGCAGGCAGAGCTGGTGCGTGGGGACAAGACCCACGGGCAGTCAGAGCTCCTACTGCTGCCCCCGCTGGCATGGGGACAGGACCCATGGGCAGGCAGAGCTGGTGCGTGGGGACAAGACCCACGGGCAGTCAGAGCTCCTGCTGCCGCCTCTGCATGGGGACAGGACCCATGGGCAGTCAGAGCTTCTGCTGCTGCCCCGAGTTGAGGGTTAGGGCTAATTTTATAAGGCATGGGTACGTGACTTATTTTTACTGGAGAAAAGAAAAGATGATGTAAAAAGTCATTAAATGATTTCAGTGCAGATGGGGTCTGGTTATTGTGCGGTCATATAACTTTAGATACGAATCTGGCCATATAGATCGGTATCTAGGTGAGGATGCCCTGGGCTTCTCTCCCTGGGGCAGCCCTAATTCACACCATAAAAAAAGTCCACTGGGTCATATAGTTTGGCATGTAGGCCAGGTCACCTTGGGCTTCTCTAGCTGGGGCAGCCTTAATCCACATCACCATTTTTAATATTTTTAATGATTGGTAAATAGTATTGTCTTTTTTTTTTTGGCAAGGAAGGATTCACCCTGAGCTAACATCTGTTGCTCATCTTCCTCTTCTTTTTTTTCCTCCTCAAAGCCCCTGAGCACATGGTTGTATATCTTAGTCGTAAGTCCTTCCAGTTCTTCTCTGTGGACCACCACCAAAGCATGGCAACTGACAGATGGGAGGTGTGGCTCTGTGACTGGGAAACAAACCTAGGCCACCAAAATGGTGCGTGCTGAACTTTAACCACCAGACCATCAGGGCTGGTCCCTATTGTCTTAATGTTACTGTTTAGCCTGGTATAAGATGATGACATGATTTGGATATGTGGATTTTTATTAACACGGAAAATGAAGAGGAACAACATTTTTGAAAAAGACAAACATAAAGGTTTGTTTTCCCTTCTAAAAACAAAAGAATATAACATGACGTATTTTGGAATCCTAAATTCCTCGTTTTATTTTCATTTTGGCCACTAGATTCATTTACTTATCTTTTCTTTCATCAAGCAGCACCTATGCATTTATGTACCGGGTATGATGCTAAGTGCTGGGGGTGTAACAATGAACGAGGTTCTTTCCTGAATAAACCTGAAGTTTGAGATACTCAAAATGATGCAGAGGGAGCACTCAGAAGAGTAGCTAACTCTGCCTGAGAAAGTTGAAATTTGAGTTGGTATTGAAAGATAAACAGGAATTTCCTGGGAAGGAAGGATGTAGAATAAAGTATTCTGGGCAGGAGTCAGCGATGAGTAAAATTAGAACTTGGGAATTGTCCAGAAAACACTGTAGTATTGTCCATAATGTGCAGGGTGCATGGTGGAGCAGAAGGAGGCAGGAGGGGAAATCAGACTGATGATGCTGCGTGGGCCCAGAAATGAAATCCAAGACTATAATTTATCCAGTAGAAAACAGGGAATAAATACAGGTTTTAGACTATAGAAGCAGCTAATGGTGGCAGCAGAGCATGGACAAGAAGAATTCTAGATTGGAGGTAATGACATTAGTTATGAGGCTGGGGCAAAAGTTAATTAAAATCTGATGATTAGAACCAAAGGGAGTCAGATTCAAGATATATTTTAAAGTAAGATGTAAAAGTACTCAATTGGAAGTAGGGTATGATGGCAAAGGAAACCTTAAAGGTTTCTAGTTTTGACTGAACAGAGATGACATTAAGGGATTGAAAATACAAAAGGCAAACCTGTTTGGGATAGGAAGAAGAGGGGAGAAGATGAAATATGAGGTAAGCTTTAGACATGCTGTGGTGTATGCCTCATGTCTAAGCCACTGACGCAGGCATGAGAAACTGCAGTTAGAAATAAAGGCCTAGAGCTGGGGAGAGGGCTGGGGGTCAGCACATTAGCTTTAGGATAGTCAGGATAACTGAAACCACGGGAGTAAGTGAGATTATCTGGTTAGGGTATAAAAACAAAAAGAGGTCCAAGAAGGAAAACTCTTGGGAATCCCCATATTTAAGGAGTAGGCAGAGGAGGGGAGAGTTAGCAAAAAGATGGGACATAGTGAGAAAAAAGTAATAAGCAGGACAAGAAGAAAAAGGGCTGCTTCCAAAGGCAAGCAGAGGGACTGAAAACGTGGAGGATGGTTCATCATGTCCAGTGGTGGAGGAGACAAGTGACAGGACTGAAAACAAGTCAGTTAGGGGCAGCTGTGTGACTTCAGCCATCAGTGACCTTGGCAAAAAGCAGTTTGAAGCTGAGGAATGAATGGGGAGTGAGTCGTCTGAGAAAGTGACAGCAGATTCCTCTTCCAGTACGTTTGTTGGGAAAAGGTGGTAAGGGAGGGCAGAAGCAAGAAAGGCAACTACGGTGCTGAAGTATCTTCACGATGGAGATTTGAGAATTTCTGTAGAGCAAGAAGTCTCACTGGTAGTTTATTAACTTAGCATCTGGTATTTACTTCATCCATTGGTCTGAAATTAGAATCAGATTTTAAAAATAAGCTAAAGATGACTCCTATATATATCTATATACCTCTCTCTCTCTCTCTTTTTTTTTCTGTATCTTAAACTGGAACACAAAGCTTGAACTTTAGTTTGAAGACGGGTAAGAATCACAACTTGGACTTGGCTCAAGGCTTTTATTGTGGTTTACCACGAAAGCAGTTAATAAGCAGCACTAAGGATATAAATGAGATAAGAATGCAAGTAGGTGAATTCAGCTGTCCACTTCCTGTTTGTTTGTGTATCACAAAAACTTAGCAGCCTTAGTAGCTCTAGCAACCAAAATGTCACAAAAGCATAGCATTGTGGGCTTCACCCTCTCCCTTAAAAAAAGAAACCTCCAGGTATGTCAGCATCTAGAAATAACTTATTTAAGGTGAAAATTCTGTTTTTAAGGAAGCCACATCACCCCGGCCTAATGTCTGGGTGCCCGGGGCTTGGCTGTGCCTGCTCTGGGGCAATCCCGCCTTACGTCTGTGTTCCCCTAGGGTGTGTGCATGGCTAGACTTGGCAGGCCTACAACATAGGAGGCGAGGTAAAAGACACAGGTGAGCAAGGTTTCTTCCCTTTACTTCTGCTGGTTCTAGTACAGAAGCTCATGTTCATGGAACACAGGTACAATGAGCATATACCATTAATATTCCTCTGCAGTCCAGAAGCTTCTATCTGTATTTTTTAAAAGGCAAGATAAGTTTAAGTGTTGTTTTCAACCCAGCAGTCTCATCGACTCAGCTAATTCTCTTGACTTCCTTTTCTATGAACACCTGCACAAAACCACCCAATTACCAAGGGTGGCAAGGGTGCTACCTTCAGGGAATCTTATCAGGGTGTCTAGATAAAATCTTAAGATTTGCTGCACTTATGAAGTTTTTACTCAGGGTGACTTTCTTGAGATGCATCATTAGAGACAGGTATTTGATATCTAATATGCAAGGCAGAGCAACACGAAGATTTTAGAGATTGCTTATAATATGCCATGTGGATTTGAGAATTTTGCTGCATCCATAAATATGGACTATATATATATACACACACACACACAAATTAGTAAATCTCTGAAATAGTGTTTACAGACATAGAAGCAAGTACTTTTTTTAACCAGCTGTCAAATTTAACTTGATATTTTCAGCATGTTTTAGTAAATGCTGAAACCCTATATGGTCTTCTGATTTCAAATCTGTGGCTTCAATTTCTTAATGTTCTGTAAACTTTGAGGAGGTTCTAAGATCACAGTAGCACATTTTCTTAATCTCTTGAAAGAGTCATTTTATCAGATTCTCTTAGAATCTCAGTATATCTGTCTTTTAGAATAGATAGTAAATATAAATACTAATGACAAAGCAATTAAGGCTGTCGATATGGGGCAATTATTTGGCCATCTCTAAAGTCAGGCACTGTGTTTCCGGCAAAAAGTGATGAAAAATCCTTTCCTGATCTTATGTCCTGGAGCAAAAGTTTGAATCTAATTTGGTCTATGCTAGACTAAGAATATTGTTACAAGGCAAGATAGATGTCAGGGGTTTCAGTGTTTTATTCCTATGTGAATATGAAACAAAACTGCAGTTTAGAAAAAATCTGGCACCTTGTTAGGCAACACTTACTAACTCTTGGAAAAACTGAGTAGGCACTTGAGCATGAAATATATTTTCTCTATTCTTCACGGAATCGTATATATTTTTAATTAACATGAAACTAAAATGGATTTTAGCATTTTGTTTTTAATCATCAGTAGTACAAACATTTCTTCAGTTTCTTACATTACAGCCTTTTAATTGCAATACGTTTATCTACATGTCTATATCTATGTGTGCCTATCTATTTACAGTGTTAGTCATTAGGTTATTTCTGGTAACTTTGGTCTGATTAGCTGGTGACGAGGTCCTAATTACCTGATGGTGACAAGAGCAGAAAGCAGGGTTAGGTCCTTACAAAATATGTTTGATTCTTGTTCACTTTTGCTAATGAGTCTGAAAATGCTTGATTCTGATGAGAAATTTGAAAATGACAATGACAACTGGAATTTCTGAGCATATATTAAACTACATAAAAATTACAAGTGACAAAGGAAAAAGGCTTATATTACATTTAATAGTGTTCCTTTTGAAGGCATTTCAAACTTTCATGAAGGATAACCCTCCAAGTGAAGTGTGCAATGTCGAAACCAGTAGAGATTTTGGTGAGCTTGTTCAGAAACGAAACGCTCTAAGAAATGCTCTGAACATTATTTTCATTAGAAAAGTGAAGCTAATTTCTATAGCTGTTTGAGGTGCTGTAATACATCTATGGACACTCCCAGCTGCTCTACTAAACTGGCTGTCTGTTGTAGAATCCAAGTGAGGCTTGGCTGTTCAGAATGTGCATGCTCCTGTGTTCTACAACATTCTAAAGATGAACAATCTACCCCATTAACACTCCTGCCACAGTTTTTGTTAAACTCAGCATTATTTTCACGGAGTCTTTCATCTGTAGCTTCATCAGTCTTTTTCTCCGCTGGAACTACATGACAAAGGTCCATATCCTGAAGGGAGTCCAATAAATCTACAACATGGGGCTGCGGAGTGATTGATTTCAGATGTTTGAGCACATCCTCTTCACACTGGCCAACTGCATCCAGAAGATTATTTATTTTACTGATCAAAGCCGAACTATTATCATGAAGGTGACACCAGGAGAGCAAAGCACTAAATAAAAATACAAACAAGAGTCAAAGAGGAAAAAACTTCATCAAAGGCTTTTAGAATTTTTGATGCTAAGTCCTACATATTTCTCTTCCAGGTAACACCATGCAAAACTGGATTAATAATAATAATGCAAGTCAAAATCAGGAAAGTAATGATGGTAAATAGGATTTAAAAATATAGACGGATACTATCTTTCAACAGGAATTAAACAACTGGATTTAATCATATAAACTATTTATAATTCATAACTCCTTCTTCACAGCTCCACATCCACTTTTCCTGATTTTAGATTGTCCCCTTATGACCGTGTAGCTTCTGCTGGAGAGGGATATAACTCAAAGAAAGAGAGATCAGAAAAATTAGTTTCTCTTTTAAAGACATCAAACAGCTTCTAAACTAGTCATGCTCAATCTCAGATGGACATTAGGATCCCCTGGGGAGCTTTGAAAACTATCAAGGCCGGGTCACATCCCAGACCAACGAACTCGGAATCTCTGAGAGTCTTATCTTTTAAAGCTTCCCAGCTGACATCAAGGTACTGCCAAGGTTGAAAACCATCTTTCTAACCATGGCTGCTTGCCATCAAAACTGAAAGTTAGAGAAAAAAAGTTTTGAGGCAACTTCACTTTTCCAACTTTGTTCTACAGTAGACACCATTTGCTAAGCTAACTAACAATTTTCCCGAATTGTTCCAGTCCTAATAAATATTTTTCTTTACTTTTCCAGTATAGACAGTACTTTTGTTTTTTGACATTTCAGATTATCATTTCGTAAGACAATGGTTGTTGTGAAAAATAATGATGTTTTAAAAGTGGAATCAACTGATATAAAAGATTGAGCAATAAGGTTTCTAAGTTTATAAAAGATTTAATTTAATTTGATGTGAAGATGGACACAATCATTTTCCTACTGTGGCAGACTACAAATTCTGATGCTTGACAGGTGAACTTTCTAAAACCAGTAAAACTTTCTTTTGTTTTGATAACATATTTTCTACCTTTTTAAAATCAGTGATTCTTTGAAGCATTTTATGTTTTTCTCCATAGAGGGCAGTTTAAAAAAGGTATAAAGCATCAAAGAGGACAAGCCTGTTGGGCTCCTAGCTCCATGTGTCATTTACAACGTGGCTCTGATACATGCTATTATCGCTATGGAATCTTGATGGGTATTGCATGTTCAAGACTAAGGTAAATGGAATCCTTTTTCTGTTATCAGCTGTGACTTTCACCACGTACTGCTAGTCTGGAAGTCTGTCATATTCTGTCTGCCACATGTGCTAGACTAAAAGCTTTGTTCAAAACCTGAAGATCTCAGTTACTTTGAGTTACAGGTTGGTGGTAGTGCAGGAAGCAAAAAATATACACCCTCCTCATTTCTTTGCAATTAAGGACAACACCTGCCACACATGGTAAAGTGATGACCTGATGACTTGGACTTTTTGAAGGCAATATTAGTCTATACTCTGTGGCACTCTTTTGTGGATTTAACACTAGGAAAAGCACTTCAGTTTAAACACTTTATTTTTACATATTACTTTTATAAAAATCCTTCAGTAGTATGGAGGTGAAAACGATTCAGCATTTAAGTTTCAAAAATTACCTCAATGTTCCTCTGAGTTGTCCATAGTTTATAATGACTTCTGCACCTTCCTTATAACCTTGATTGAAGCCTTGCTGAAGAGTAACTGCTTTGCCAGCATCTACTCCATCTCTATAACCTTCCTAAAAATAAGGAAGTAATGAAGAATCGCAGGCTGCAACTAACACCAAGTGAACCATTGTAAGCTTTTCTAGAAAGTCATAGAACCAACTTGGAAAATCAATGAAATAAGCCTTGACTGAGTTATTTAACATAATTCTTCTATAACATATGTCATAGGCACACAACCAAAGTAGACTATGCTTCTCATAAAAGTTTATTATTGGTTTAATCCCATTTTCGAAGTCTGGACTTATTGGGCACATTTTAAAATACTGATTCTTATACAATTTTTAAAAAACCTGTGTTAGCAACGGCTTCACAGAAAGGAAACATGGAGAATTACAAGTCTGGCCCCTTGGCAACTGAGTGGATTGGTGTGGGTAGGTGAGGAGATGGGGCAGTAAGTAGGGTTATTGAAGGTCTTGGATAATTAATTGAATAAGGGAAAGAGGAAAATGGTTTAGCAAAACGAAGTAGTCTGGTTTTAGAAATTTTGCTTGATACTTAAATTCAACTAAACTGCAAATTCTCTGTGCGTGGGGATTTTGTCCTGCATTTCCTATGGCGCCACAGCACTTTTCAAAAGATGCTCAGTACCTACTGGTCTGACCTCAGCCTCACATAAGGCATTTCCGAAGCTGACAAGGTTGCTGGGCTAAGCAAAGATTATTTTACTGAAATATTAAACGAGGGCAGATTTAGTGGCAATTGAATGGTTGGCAAGGATATCAGGTGGAAGCGGACCTCACTCTGAACTAAGCTGAGAGCTCCACCTGGAAGTTAGGTGTGTGGTATTAAGCTCAGTCTCCATGAATAGGGAGACAAATTAGAGATGGATAATTCACACCTAACTAATAAAAAAAGAAACCAACTTTAACAGTCCCTTATCTAGCCACCCTTGGTCCATATTAGCTCTCCCTTATTGCCCGTTGACAACATTCTTAAGTTCGCTTTTTCCGTCTGTCTTGATTAGTACTATGCCTAATTTTAGGCTCCTCACTCATTCAATCAACCCATGTAAACTGTGTACTGGTCCTTTGACAGCCATGATCAGTACAGTCGGTGCGTCCATTTCTCCCCCACCCTGTCCTGTGATCCTCATCAAACGGGAGCCTCTTTCATGGCTGGACAAAGTTTATTCGGGTTGGTCCATGGCGTCGCAGGCACCCCGCGGGCGCTCGAGGAACGCACCCTGTGGTTTCACACGCTTTCAAGTCACCCAGTGGGAAATCCCAGCAGGACGCGGGCCGGACTGGGAGGCAGCGGGCAGGGAGGACGGCGCGGGGCCGGCCCGGACCACTGCGGCCGCTTCTGGGACGCACCTTCTTCACGCCACCACGCCCCTCGCCCCGCACCCGGCGCAGCAGGGCGCCCCCGCACCCTCCACGCAGCTTTACTTTGACTCGTCTCTGCATGTGGCTCCGCCATTCCCGCTGCACCACGAGCGACTCGTCCGCTTCCTCGTCAAACACGTCCCCGTCCTCGCCAGGATCCCGGACCAAAGGACTCGCTCGAACCCACGACATCACCGAGGCAACCACACAGCCGCCGGCCGCCGGAAGCGCCGGCAACTCCATCCGGTCCCAGGGGCGGGGCGGAGAATGCGAGTCGGGGCTCACAGGGCGGCTGCGCGTGCGTTTGCGCATGCGCGGTGTCGGGGCCGTCGCGGCTGGCCCCTGGCTGCCGACGGAGCTTTTTGCTCCCTGGTGGTTTGGGCCTCCTCAGTTACCTCCCAGTGTCAGCGCGCGCCTGTCGTGGGCGCGGCAGGTGCCTCCCTGGTGGAGCCTGTCCGATCTTGGCCTCTGCGGAAGGCTGCCCGACCTGGTGTCCATCGTGCTCCATAAGGTCTAGGTTTTGGAGACGCGCGCGCGAGTCACACCGTTCAAGGTCGTTCATTTGATGGGCGATTACTGGCCAGACTCCGTCTCTTTGAGAGTCCCCCTCAGTGCATTGACGAGATTTGACAGCTCGACGTTTTTTAATTGTTAGGAGCGTGGAGCAAAGACAATGGAATAGAAAAGTTAGATACCGCTGCTGTTTTCAGATCAATACATATAAAGGGTACATGTATCAACAAATACATTTCTCATTGATTCGCGGTGTCCTTCACCGGCTCGCGTTCCCTCTCATGCTCTAAAAGGCTGCTGGCTCGGTGAGGTCGGGACTTGTCTTGTTTATCTTTATATACTCAGCGCTGGCCAGGTTTTGACACAGACATTAGCGAACGAATGGACACCAGCACCATTCCTGTTTTTGCCCCTTGTTTGTGTGGTCATGTAGTAATGATGTTTTTTAGCTAACGTATTTTGTTGAACACCTACCTTTTGTGCCAGGCACCGTTGTAGGCTTTGGGATACATCCGGGAATGATATAGACAAAAGTTCTCAGTTCTCGTGGACTTGACATTCATGTAGAATTGACAGGATAAACAATAAGCACTATATTGTAAATTATATAGTTTGTTACAAGATCATAAATGATGCTATGGAAAAAAAAACAAGCAAAGTAAGGGGAACCATGAGTATATGTGTGAGGGAGTGTGGCTGGCTGGTGTGGGTTATAATTTTAAGTGTCCAGAGAGAATTTTGCTTATATGTATACATATGATTTACTTGGTAGGCTTATGGAACGTGTATAAAAAATTCTATACTTGGACACAAAAAATGCCTTAATAAACTAAAAAGAATAGAGATTGTACAGGTCATATTCTCTGATCATAATCCAACAAAATTAGTAATAAATAATAAAAATGACCCCAATAATTTTAACTATAATATTGGACATTAGAAACACCTTCCTAAGTAACATTTGGATCAAAAAGGAAATAATGATTAAAATGACATGTAATAATCAATTAAAATTAGAATACATCCTACCAAAAAACGTGGGAACAAATAAAAGCTGTCCTAAGAGGCAATTCTATAGGCTTTAATGTCTTTATTACTAAAGAAGAAAGAAAAAATACATAAACTTACTATACATCTTAATTAGAAACAAGTAGTAAGAGAAGGAATAAAGATAACAATTGAAATTAATGAAATAGAAAATCCCAAAACTTGCATGAATAAATCCAAAAGCTGGTTCTTTGAAAACACCAGTAAGATAGATAATCTTTTGACTCTGATTTTTAAAGAAAAGAACAAAATTTTACAAGATAGAAATGAGAAAGGAGGTAATGACACAGAAGGAAATTCAAATATTATAAAGTACTAATTAAAAATAAAGAGCAACCCATTTGAAAACCTAGGAGATACGAATGACTTCCTAATAGAACTGACCCAACAAATAGAAAACATGAAGAGATTAATGATCAAAGAAAAATTGAAGATTAAATACTGTAAAAAATAGCATGGAGACTTGACAACTTCACAGTTAAATCCTTTATAATCTTTAAAGAACAATAGGTAATTAAATTTTATTTTTTCCTATTTGAGGGCAACAAAAAAAATAGAAACTAACTCATTTCATGAAGCCAGCCTTACTGTAACCTGATCAAGATGTCATCAGAAAAACCCAAAACACCAAAGTTAAGTTAGCTTATGAATACATTTAAAAAGGGAATCCAGTATCTTATCAAAAGAATAATTCAAAAGGTTTTATTCTGGGAAAGGAAACTATGCAAAATTAGGAAATCTATAAGCATATTTCATTGCATGAACAATTTAAAGGAGAAAAACCGTATGTTATTCTAATAAATGCTGAAAAGTCATTTGAAAACATTTAAAAATCATTCTTAACAAAACAGAAATAGAAACTACAAATTGATGAAGACTTTATCAAAAATCCAACAGCAAGTAGTAGTCTAAATGCTCAGATGTTAAGGTACTTCCTTTAAAGTAGAGAAAAGAGAGCACGTGGTGGTCACTGTTAGTACTCAACATTCTTTTGGAGACTAGAGAATGCAATAAGAGAGGAAAACAAAATAATCTGTATAAATATGGGATAAGATGAAGTTGTTTCTTTTTGCTGTTTTTATGGTTGTATGCCTAGAAAACCCAAAGGACTTCAGTTAAAAACAGCAAGGGAATTTGATAGGGTCTCTGGATATAAGAAAAATACATAGACTAATAGCCTCTTTATTTTCTATCAATATCCATCTAGAAATGTAAATGAGATAAATATTCCACTTGCAATACCAATAAATACTGTTAGATATAGTATTTGTATATTTGTTTAGTATTTAGTATTTGTTTAATATAGAGATGGAGATAGAGTTAGGAGTTCCTGAAGTTTTTGGGGGATAGGGAGCATAAAGCCTGTGAAAGATAAAAAGAGGAGAAAGCATGACTTGGCAGGCAAAGCCTCCATAAGGGGATGCTGATCTGATCCCTGTGATGGGAAAGGGAGGAGGTAGCAGGACTGGGCAGAGGGAGCCTCAGACTGCGTCATGGATCTGACAAAGTCCTGGCCAACGTAAAAGGGAGCTGTGGAGCAAAGGGCAAGGACGAGTCCTGCATTAGGTGCATGAGGCCAGGCCTTGGTCTCCCTGCCATCCTCAGTTATAGGCTGCGCATGCCCTGAATGAGTGTGATCTTGGCTAGAAGTCTGAGGCAGATCATGTAGGTGCTCACAGCTGGAGGCTGACATCTGTACTCCTTTGTCAAGAAGCGGATGATCTTTCAAGGTCCTTTGAATTGTGTGATTCTGTTTTTCCAAAATAGCTTTCTTTCTTTCTTTCTTTTTTATTAAATGAACTGTACATAACCATGACATCCCCTGCATAAATTGTGGTGTCACAATGTGAACTTAAAGTGTTTGGTCAACTTATCTTGCGGCTCAATATCTCTTATATAAATATTCTATGATGAGGTCAACCTTTAGGATTCACTCTATTCTTGTCCCGTTCTGCTTATCTCATCCTTGACTTTCCTCTCAAAGCCTTCAACAGTTCTTTTTTATGTCCTTCTATTTCTCATCTCCTGCTAACTTTCGTTCCTTATCTCAGTCTTCTCCACTTTATTTGTGCCTTTTGCAAACTGCTGTTTGGTAGTTGGTATAATAAACTCTAAGAGGGCACAGACCTTTTCTGGATTCCTCTTCAAAGTTTCTAGCATACGGGCATTAATCATTAACTCTCTGGCAACCAGCCAGCAGAACTCCTGATTTCCACATGCCAGGGGAAGTAGTTTTCCACTTTTCCTTGTCCCTTCTAAACTTTCATATGTTCTGTGACCCTCTGTGGTATTCAGTGCCCGCACCCTTGGGTGCCGTCTTTTGATTGCTCATGTTGGGTCTGCTCTAAGGCCGTGTACATATTAGAAAAATAAAATTGTTGCTAGTGGTGAAAATGATAGGAGAGCATTCAAAATATGGCTTCTAAAGTGAGGGTCTTAGAATATGGGCAGTAGATGGTGGGCAGATCCTGGCCAGAGTTGCCTCTTTTATTCTAAAGTATTATGTCTAGAGAAGACTCCAGTTATAATATAGGTGTCAGAGCTAAAAGAAAAATTATTAGTCCAATATGGAATGTTTGCTGAATATTAGAAGGGATGAAGTAGAAATGTCAGATAGGAAGCCTGATTGATCTGTTTAATGGTTTATTGATGGACAGCCATGTCTAATAGCATTTAAGCATGTTCAAGTCTGTCTTATCTTTAAAAAAATTCCTTCCTCAATTCTAAGCTCTCCAGTAGCTATTGCTCTATACTTCTCTTTCCCTTTGCAACTAAACTTCTTGAAAGAGTTGGTGTCTCTACTTCTGCACCTCTCACTTTTCAACCCACAGCAATCTGGCTTCCAACCCCACTATTCCATTTCAAATGGCAGTGAGGGAATAGGGGCAATTTTCACAATATTTTTTCTGAGGAGTCTCACATCTCTCCCTCCAGCCCAGCTCTTCTCTGTGCCTCAGACTCATGTATCTAGCTGTCTGCAGGATATCTCCACTTAGATTTGCCATATGGATTTAACGCATCATCTCTGAATTTATTTTTTCCCCCCTTCAATGTTGTTTCTCATGTTTTCTAGCTCCTTGCTGCTCAAACTGTGGTGCAAGCACTTGTAGCATCAATAGCACCTGGAAGCTTGTTAGAAATGCAGAGTTCCTGGTCCCATCCCAGGCCTGTTGAATCAGAATCTGCATCCTCAGGTGATTTGTATGTACAGTCAAATTTGAGAACTGCAACTCACTGAATGGTCACCACATCAGCTCATTCTCTGTGTCCTAAGTGTTTCTTTTATTTTTCCATTTTTCTCCATTCCCATTGCCACTTCCTTGGTTCAGGCTGCCATCTTGTCCTATCTGGATATTATAACATCTTCCTAACTGGTACCTCTGCTGCGTGTCCTATCTCCCTTCCGGTCCATTTTCTCTACTAGCCAGAGTATTATTCTGAAAGCAAAATCTGATAGGACCTTCTCTTATTAATTCATTTCAATACTTTGTGATTGCTCTCAAGATAAAGTCCAAATGCCTTTACTTGGCCAAAAATGCCATGTGTGGTCTGGCTCCTGCTCACCTTTCTGGCTTCACTTCTTGCATCCTCCCACTCATCCATTTCAGATCTTTGCCACATAATTTTTCCTCTGCCTAGAAATGTAGCCTCTTTCTGTACCAAAGGCTACTTATATTAGGTGTCACTTCCAAT